CTTGTCCCGCCGAGCTCCCTCCGAGCGGCTTCATCGGGCTCCAGGAGAGCTCACCTATGGGAGAGACCCGCATTAGCCGGCGCAGGCGGAGAACGCCGCTAAATGTTGTATTTTTAAAGCATTTTCTCACCCAGCAGGAGCTCCGAGCTGCTCTGCTTAAGTGTGGGAAAAGAGGTGGGGAGGGCGAGTGGGATTGGGGAGGGGGCTGAGGGGTTTGGGCGGGCAAGGAGCGAGGAAAAGAAGAAATTCAATTCAATACAAGAGGGGGGACTGCCCTGCTGCCACCCCCATTTCCTTCCCCCAGGGCAATCCTCATTTTGGGGTTTGTGGTGTGGGTCAGGTTCATGGAGGGGAATGGATTTGCAGCAACCCCTGCTCTCCAGGCTGCAGACCTGGAGTCTCTGTCCCTGACAGCCCCTGAGCTCCCCGAGAGACAAATATTAAACATTTCCAAACATAAGGGAGCTTGGAGAACCCATCTAAGCTGTTTTACAGTGTTTAAAGAGTCAGAGAAGGACGCAGGAATTTCACAAAGTCCCTCTCCCAGCCCAGGGTTGAAGGGACTGTCCCGGTGCCCATGGACTTGCAGATTTGGGACAGGAGGAGGATTTTTTTGTCCAGGACAAGAAATTCAGGAGAGATCTAGGGGGACAGAGAGCTGCTTGAAGTGCGTGTCCAAACCTCGGCCCAGCTCAGCATCACCCGGTGCCCGCTCAGCTCTGGTGAAGGTGTAAAAAGCAGCGCTTGGCACCTTTCAAAGCCAGCCCGTTTCACACCTATACAGCGGGAATTATCGCTGATAACTCCACCCAGGGGCTCGGGGTGGGATCACCCAAACTCATCACACCAGAGCGCTCCGGAGGGCCGGTCCCGGCTGCAGAGCTCTCAATCCATCATAGCTGCGGCAGCCCCTGCCGGCTGCGGCTTCCCCACAGACACCCGCTCCTTATCTCTGTGTTCCAGATGGAAAAGATAACGAGCAGACACCCGCTCCTTATCTCTGTGTTCCAGATGGCAAAGATAACGAGACACACGGCTGGTGTAACACCAGGAACCCCCCGAGAAGCCGGAGCGGGCTCTCCCTCAGCCCGAACGCTCCCGGGACATCGTTACCTGCCTGAGCTCCTCCCGAGCAGCGCTGGGAGATGCTG